TGTATACAATCTTTCTCTAGTGAAGGACAAATGAGTATATATATATATATATATATATATATATATATATATATATATATATATATATATACACGTATTGCTTAATCACAAAAACAAATCCAGAAAGATAAACTTGAAACCAATAAAACAGTTATAGATAGGGAAAGTAGAAATGGCATTGGCAAGATAGGAATGGAATGGTAGTCAGACTTCTACATATACCTTCCTAATATAGTTTTGATTTTTGAATCATGTAAATGTTATTACATACTCAAAAAAAAAGAAAGAAAAAAGAAAAAACAACACTAAATCAAAATGGATAAAGCAAACACTAAAACTGAATACAAATAGCAACAAATGAACCTAACTATGTTATCAAATAACATAATCACACACACAAAATTTAATCCAAGGAATTCTGACCACAGTACTATGACTGTAGACCATTACTGAGTGTAGTGGGATGACTGTGGCCCTCTCCAAAATATACTCACCTGGAGCCCATGAATATGATCTCATTTGAAAGAGGAGTCTATGCAAGTATAAAGATCTCAAAATCAAATCATTCTAGATTTAGGGTGAACCTTAATGCCAATGAATATGTCCTTATAAAAGATAGAAATGGAAGACACAGACACATAAAAAAGGCCACGTAAAAATGGAAGCAGAGATTGAAGATATGTACACAAGTCAAGCATGCTTGAAGCCACCAAAAGCTGGAAATGGCAAAGTTGGACTCTTCTCTAGAGTCTTTCTTTGGAGGGAGAGTGGACCTGCTGACACCTTGATTTTAAACTTTTGGACTCTAGAACTGAGAAAGAATAAATTTCTGTAGGTTCTAGCCACTAAATTTGTGGTTAATTTATTGCAGAAGCTCTAGGAAACTAATTTACTGGAATATATTCTAAGGCTAGAAAGGATTGAAAAGAAATCGTGAAACTTATCTGACTTGTTTTATATTGGCAGTGGTATTGAAACAGCAATTCTAATAATATATGGTTTTGGAATCCAAGTGAAAAAAGTCTTCTGGACAAAGAAGCCATTAAGTGTGTCACAACTGAAATCAGAACTGACCACTGGACTTGGCAACATGAAACTCACTGGTGACCCCGAGAAGACCAACTTTTAAAGTAATGCAATGTAGGCCTAACAGGATGAGAGGAGAGGGATAAGACAGTGACTACAGACAGCTTCTCTAAAGAAAAGCCGAGAATTTGGGCAGGAGGGTCAAAGAAGGATTTTTCATTTGGGAGAAACAACATTATGTTTGAGTGCTAATGTAAATGAATGATCATGTGGAAAGAAAAAAAATATTAATGATACAGAACAGGGAAGAATTACAGGAGTGATAACTCTAGAGTATGTGAGGGAGTGACACTCCCAGGGAACAGGTAGAAAGGCTGGCTTTAGAAGCTTAGACAGTTCTATAGTAACAGATGGGTAAGCAGAGTATGTATATGGTATAGAGACCAGTGGGTAGATAGGTAAATAAATGCAATGCCAGGTACTTGTGAAAGCTCTTTTCTGATTGCTTCAATATTCTGTTCTAGGAAGTTCATCTACATTAAAGATGAAAAAGGAGATGTTGGAGGTTTTGAGAAGAGGGGAGAAAGTATGAAACAGTCATCTAGGAGAGAAGGTAAGTGAAAGGATCAAATCAGTGTGGTACAATTGCTGGGAGCATTAAGAATCCACTGTCATTATTTTAAAGTGACACCAGTCATCATGGTATCATCATTTTTCTGCAGTCCCATTCAACTGCAAGAGTGAGATTTCACTATGGTTGTAATTTTGCCAAGACAGAGAGAGGCAAAGGTACTGAAGATGTATGCATGGGAGTGATTAGGACTGACCTTTGAATGTAAGGTATAAGGGATATTGGGGTGAAAAAATCCAGTACCACATCATTCTATCCTGCAAACAATTTAATCCTTTGGCTCTGTAGCTATCTTCCCTCTTGTATCTTACTGACTGATCTTTCACTGATTCCACTTTCTCCAATGGTTTATCATCATTTCCCATGTCTAACTACGATACTTGGCCCTATGTATACTTCCTCCAAAATTCATTTATTTTCATGGCTTCTGAAAGGTCTGTATAAATTCATTATGTGATAATTCATTCATGATTCTTCATTGGCACTACAAACTCTTACAGTATCAAAGCGTCAATATGCCTGACACTAATAATCATTTCTTTCAAAATGTTAGTAACTTAAATAACATTTCTAAAATGAAAGAAATCACTTCCTGTAATCTTGCCATTTTCATCATTATTCCCATTCATTAGTAATCCAAACTCAGGTTATGAATTCTTTTTTAAAAAAAATTATCATCTATATTATTAGTTAATTCCTTTCCTGTTCTATCCCTCTAATCCTAGCTTAAAAATCTCACTATCAGTTACCTGAATTATTGTAATTACCAATTAACTAGTCTTCTTTTAACTTCACTACTTTTCTACTTTCAGTAGTCCTTCACATGAGGATGCAATGAATTGCCCTTAAACGACTTATTATTTACTTCCATAATTAACTACAATAAAAACATTTACAACTACTTCCAAAGCCATTATCCTCACATTCAGTCTCCTTAATTTATAGTTCCTTTTCAATTATATTTTCCCTTATTCCAACATAAACTCCCTGTTCTTGCCAGATTGTTCTTTTCACTGTTCTCAAAACATGCTATCCTCAAGTCTTGTGCCAACACATTTCCTTATTTAGTTCCTGTTTCTTTCTATACCTAAAAGAATTCTATCCATCCTTCAAGTTCCACCTCTCCCTTGAAACCTTCCTCTATTATTGTACTTCATTGTATTTTCCTTCAATGAATTCCTGTGCTACATTCAACAGTCAGGATCTGGCCACGTATAGTTATTAGTCTCTCTAACCATTTCATTGGCATCTTAAGGGCAAAATTTTGTCTAATTTTTTCACCCCTGTCCCCAATAATACCTAGCAAAATGAAGATCATATTATTAACAGGTTAAACTGAAAACAATGGGAAATTGCTAGGGAATTTATTAGATGAAAAACTCAAGGCCCTAAGAATCAAACACTAGGTAAAAAGAGTTTGAAATTTGGATGCTAAGCAAGTTCATGTATTTAAGGTGATGATACTAGGGAATCATAATCGCACATAATCAGATCTTAAAAGTATGATCCTCACATGTTAAGCTTATATTAGTAAGCTCATGTTTGTTTTTATTGGAAAGGGAACCACATTTTAACAGAAATCTATCAGTTAAATTCTAGAATTCCCCCTCTTCAATACTCTTATTAACAGTACAAAAATTAAGAGTTAAGCTTTTACACAGATTAGTAATTTAAATCCTTGGGAAAATCTAGAATTAATTCCAAAACAGATCCATAAAAAGCTTGAAATATTTCTAACCTCTTACTTATCAAACACAGCTGATGAGGGAACAAGGAAAGTTAAAATAATATTGGGTTGCTGGAAAAGTCATGACGTATTTTTCTGTTTTTTGTTGCAAAAATGCGTCATGACTTTTCCGACAACCCAATAAAATCCAGTTGGTATCTTTTCTGTGCTGAAATAAATGAAATCAGGTAATTTTCATCATTGATTTCTGAAACCATAACTAAAAATCTACTTATTAAATTCTTTAACAAAAATTACCATTAAGTTGATATTAAAAACAAACTTCCTACTTTCAGCATGTTATGGCCCCTAAATTTACAAGCCTCCTATTATTTCTTGAAATCAGACTAAATTCTCATCCATCTAAGACCAAAGCCCAGAACTGAAAAAGTCTCTATTATCTGATCAGATATCAGCTAACACTGCGTGAATAAGCTCTGAATAACCACTATGCAAATGTATCAAATTAAATATTAAAATCCCCATAGACACTTTTGACCAAATAGAATCACAGAATTTTAAAGGTAGGAGAAAATTTAGAGTTAAGAGACTAACTTGCCTATTTTACATGAGAAACAGGAATGTTGAGCATTTATAAAGTTTTTGGGGAGCAGTAGTGGGTAGACATATCATTACTACAGCTGATGTAATGGGGAAACTGGTAGTCTGTAATAATTATAAAACTCATATAATGAGAACTCAATATAGATTGTGAAGCCACAGTTAGCTAGATATAAATTCTGACATGGATATTAACTACCATGGAGAACACACTACAACTGACAATATCATAGCTTAGAAAAATAAAATAAACAGAATTATCAATGTATAAAAATTTATGATTATTCAGAAAACAACACTTTTTAAAACACTTAGTACTACCATTTTAGACAAATCTAATTTAACTTCAATTTACCAGTACCAAATTGGGATAAAAATTCAACTATAAAGTATACTGTGATAGGTTGAGATGCATATTCTAATACCTACAGTAACCTCTAAGAAAATCTTAAAAATAGTAAGTAAATAAATCAATCAATCAACAAAGGAAATTAAATGACACACTAAAAGAATAACATAAAAAAGGTAGTAAAAGAATGGCAGGCATAAATCCAATTATATCAATAATCACATTAAATGGGAATAGACTAAACATGCCACTCAAAAGGCTGAGATTATCATACTGGATAAAACCCAAGGACATTACTTCTATAAAAGACATATTTTAGATTCAAAGATATAAACAGGTTCAAAGTAAAATAATGGAAAAGATATTCCATACAAACAACAGCAGTAAGAATGCTTAAGTGGCTATATTAAGAGCATATGAAACAGACTTTGAGATAAATAGTACTACAGACAAAAAAGATTATGTCATAATGATAACAGTCAATAATATGTTAGAAAGACACAACATTTATAAATGTATCCACTCACACTTAACAACAAAGCTGCCAAATACACGCAGCAAAACTGACAGGTCTAAATGAAGCAGAAATAGAGAAATCAGCAAGGGTGTAAAAGACCTGAACAACACTGTCAACCAATGTGACCTAGACTGTTCAGAGTTCACATTCCTTTTCAGCACACATAGAACATTCTCCAGAAATGACCACATGTTGGGCTACAAACAAATCTAAATAAATTTAGAATCATAAAAAGGATATTCCCCGAATAGCAGAACAAAATTTAAAATCTGCAACAAAAAGAAATCTGGGAAAACTCAGAGGTCCAAGAAGATATTAAAAAAGAAGTTAAATATTTTGAACTGAATAAAAATGGAAACACAACATATTAAACTTTATAAAAGGATACAATTAAAGCAGTGTTTACTGGAAAAATATAGAGATTTAAATGCCAGTATCAGAAAAGAACTGTCTCAAATCCATAACCTAAGCTTGCACACGTTAAGAAACTAGAAAAAAACAAATCTAAAGCAAGAAAGAAATAATAAAGATTAAAATGAATGAAACAAAACCCTGAAAAATAAAAGAGAAACATCAATGACTTCATAAATTGGCTCTTTTAAAAAAATCAACAAAATTGACAAACTTTTAGATAGAATGACCAAGAAATTAAGAAGAGCAGACCTACAGGGCTAGCCGAGTGGCTCAGTTGGTTAAGAGTTGGCTTAAGAACGCGATCTCTGAGCAACAGGACCACCAGTTTGATTCCCACATGTGCCAGTGATGCTGCGCCCGAGATAAGCTGTTGCTGAACTGCCAAGAGGTGTCAGGATGGCTCAGCTGGTGTAATAACAAGATTGCCTGTTCGATGGTGGGCTACGCCCACCTGCAACTAAGACTGAACTTGGCATCTTGAGCTGAGTTGCCACCCGGATGGCTCAGTGCATAGAGCACGCGCTCTTAACAACAAGGCTGCTGGTTCAACTCCCAAATGGGATGGTGGCTACACCCACCCATAACTAAGATTGAACACAGCACCTTGAGCTTAGAGGCCGCGAGCTGGAGACGGGCAGCCAGATGGCGACTGGCATCCTCCAGAATGAAGGTTGAAGAACAACAACTTGGCTGGTCCCCTTCCCCAACAATGTTCCCCTCCTCCAATTCCCCAATAAAATCTTAAAAAAAAAAAAAAAAAAGCAGAGCGGACACAAATTACCAAAATCAGGAATGGAAAAGAGGGAGAATCACCACTAACCCTTCAAGAATTACAAGGATCCTAAAGGAATATTATGAACAATTTTAAATCAACAAATTATAGAGCTTAAATTAAAACAAGGAATTCCTAGAAAGACACAAATTACCAGAACAGACTACAAAAAATTGAAATTCTGAGTAGATCAAATAAGGACATTAAACTATGAATTAAAAACTTCATACGAAGAACAGCCTAGGGATGATGGTTTCACTGATGAAGCCTATGAAATATGTGAGAAACTCATTCTGCGAGGTCAGTATTACTCTGATACCAAAACCAGGCAGAGAAAACACAAGAAAACTAAAGGTCAATATCCCTCATGAACATAGATACAAAAATCCTTCTTAAAAGATTAGCAAACTGAATTCAGCAACAGATAGGAAAGGATTATACATATCAAGTGCAATTTTTCCTCAGAATGCAAGGCAGGTTTACCATCTTAAAATCAATCTAAAACGCTATATTCACAGAATAAAGCACAAAACCACATGATCATTTCAATACATGAAGAAATCCAAGTGACAAAACCCATTCATTATAAAGATGTTCATAAAACAAGGTATATAGAAAGGAACTTCTTCAACTAATTAAAGGA